TCTTCCATGTATATTAAGTCATTTATTCATTGATGCAGTAATTCAGCAATCATGTATTGAGCATCTCCAGATGCTCTTCTGGGTACTGGAGATGCTGCAGTGACAAGCAGACAAGTCCCTGCCCTTCCACATTTATATTCCAGTGGGGAAGTTTGTGTTTTTTTCCTGACACCACATACGTGTTGTTTTTCCATACCAATTCTGCAGTTCTCCAACACCAGTTGGGTGTCCAGCAGTTCAATTCAATACTGGCACTAACTCCTAGAGTTAATATGGACCCCACAGGTTAAAGGCTCAGTCCCACAAGACTGCCCCCATTTCAGATGCTAGCTGCAGATGGGGTTCCTAGGCTACCTGCACCTATGCCTGGCCGTCTGCAAATTCAGGGGTCCTGGAGCTGTATAATTTGGTAGAACCACTCACAGAACTTCAGAAAGTTATGGTTACCAGCTTATTATGAAGGATAAAACTCAGAAACAGCCAAATGGAAGAGGTGCACAGGGCCAGGTATGGGGAAGAGGCACAGAGCCTCTCAGGGCTCCCTCCCAGCTACCCTCCCCGCACGTCGATGTGTTCACCAACCCAGAAGCTCCCCAAACCCCACAATGGAGGGGTTTTTATGGAGGTTTCATTACGTAAGCATGATTGATTAAATCAGTGACCATTGGTGATGGAACTCAATTTCCAGCCCGTCTCCCTTCCCCAGAGGTTGAGATGGGGCTGCAAGCTCTCGCTTTCCCAGAGGTTGGGATGGGGCTGGTGGCCAGCCTCTATCCTGAAGCTGTCTAGTGGCCTTATCTAGAGTCACCACATTAGTGTGGTGAAAAGGGGCTCGTTATGAATAACAAAAGACACCCCTATCAGAAAGTTCCAAGGGTTTTAGGAGCTCTGTGCCAGGAATTGAGGACAAAGACCAAATATACATTTTTGTTATGCTACAGGGAGACAGTAAACAGATAAATATTTAATGTCAGGAAGTATTGTGTGCTGTGAGGAAAACTAAACCAGAGTAAGGGGTTTGAGGGAGACAAGAAGAGTACTGCTGTATGTGGGGTGGTTGGGGAAGGCCTCTGAGGAAGTGGCATTAAGCTGGGACCTTAATGATATGAAGCAGGAGCCTTGTGAATGTATTGGGAGAAGAATATTCCAGGTAGAGGGAGTAGCACACCCAAAGCACTGGAGGCAGGAATGTGCTTTGTGTGTCCAGAGTACTGAAGTCACTGTGGCTGGAATGTGATGGGCAAGGGACGGGAATCCACT